GATGGAAACAGTCGGTCTTCGAATATTTCAGCGAATTGTAAGTGTGTCCCCCATCATTCATTAGTCTGCTGCTATCAGTGGCTCAAACCTCCGTTACTAACTCTAAAATGACGTTTTGGAATTAGCAACGGAGGATTATAGGCGTAAGAAATTAGCCTAACACACAAGAGTGTTTTACTGACAAAAACTTGACAAACGTCTTGAAATGCATCATCTGATCAATGTTTTGAGGTGTGGTAACTGTAGTATAAGTGGAATAATTGACTTGCACAAAACTCCACTTCGCGTCGTGACCACATTACCACCTCGGGTGTGCATTATTTTTCTAATAATTCAACGGCCTGTCGTCAATATTATTCCAAAATTGCATATTTAAACGTTTTTTTCCTTGAAAACAAATCTTCATGCCTTAGAATAGCGAATGCAACTTCATTGTCTCATTTAGTGTATCAGTTCTATAAATATGTAAATGATCCCCGCCTCCACTCACTCACTCACAGCAGCTCAGAAATCCACTCGTTGACGATTGCTTGTTGATCTGATTGGTTGCAAGGTAATTTGTGATGTCAGAAACACCAGCGATTTTAAAGCCTGTTTTTGAGACTGCAGTTTTAAGAAGAAAATACTCGGCAATGGTGTTGACTTATGAATTTGCACATGGTTTGTCTTAAAGCATATTAAAAACACCACAAAGACTGAAAAATAAAGTCAGACACCACATAGACTGAGAAATTTCTGAGAAATAAAGTCAGAATTTTAAGATAAAAAGTTACTTTTTTTAAAAGTAATCACTTTTTGTCATTAAAGGGACACTATGCAGTTATTTTAGCTTAATTTAACAGCTTCAGAGTTCTTGAAATGGTTATATGACTACTTTCGGGTTGAATGGTGGGCGTCTCGACCCCCCCTGGTGCCTGTGAGCGGAAAAATCTCACTTGCAACTTCGGTGTGGCGAGCCGCCGGCCTCAGCATCAGGAAGTATAGCGTGATATCAGCTCTCGCGATGTAACATATTCTAGTTTGCAGCAACACTGCACATATCCAGGAACAAGGTTGAGAAGGATGGAGTTTGTCACACTATCGTCATGGCTGAGCCGGCATATAAGATACAGAAAGCTAGGAAAGCATTGTCGGAGGAACAGAGAAAGAGGAAACAGCAGACTGACCGAGTGAGAAGTCAGACACGAGCATAGGCGCGGGTGTGATATATCCCTATTGAAACATCTCGCAGCACGGATGTACCAATACAAACAAATAAAACATCTCCAGGTAACTCTAGTAGAGCATTCATTTAGTTCGTTTGTTAAATATGAGGCGATCTGAAATGTGTTGTTTTTGAAATCAAGTGACCAAAGCGCGTTGCCGCTGCGATCAGTTTCAGTGGATTCAGTGTTCTGTTGTGACGCGCACTGTCTTCAAACGAGCGCGCGCTCAATCCGTTGCGGGGACTGAGAGACTCATTACGGTGAAATCACAAAATCCAATGCACAAAAAACATGTCCCTGCTTGAAATACAGCCACTAATACAACCGAAAATAAACTATACTATTAGTAGGGATTAGAAGAACACAGACCCTGTGACACACAAGGCAAAAGTTCTTCCTCTGGACCATTATAGTTCATGGGGATATGTATTTAATCACGTGAAAATTCTCACCACTAACAACATATATTAGATCTCATTAAACGACAAATTAAACACAATGTACTATTGTATACTATGTAACACGTCACGCTCTCCGTGAGTGGTATTTACGACAGTAACGTTAAAAACAAGTACTCCACAGTTACTCTAGGAGTCGCTGTTTGACAAAAACAGCATTCCTGCCTGGTGTCCCTTTAAGTGGCGGAAACAAACTTCCATATGTTTCAATCATAAATGTGATTTTTATTTTTTTATTTTTAGCCAATCCGGTTTACTTTAAAGGGACAGTTCACCCAAAAATGAAAATTCTGTCATCATCTACTCACAGAAGATGATATTTTGAAGAATGTTGGTAACCAAACAGTATTTACTTTCATACTACGGAAGTCAACAACTGTTTGGTAACCAACATTCTTTAAAATATAATCTTCTGTGAGTAAATGATGACAGAATTTTCATTTTTTGGTGAACTGTCCCTTTAAAAAAATGTTTTCCCTGAAATTTTGTGATTACAAGTTATTTTGGAATGTGTAATTGGATTGGGCTTGAATTAAAAAGCACTCATTAGGAGATGATTTGGCCTGTGTTGTGCTTTGGAGTGAGGGAGATGAGTGACAGGCGGAGGTATGAGAGACTCTGATAAGCTCTCTTCTGCTCTCAAACTGTAAGGCAGTGGAGCTGATGTCTATCTCTCCGCTTTAATGGCTCTCACTATGGATGTATTACTCATTGAGAGGATGAAAACAATGTACTGTAATAGTCAAAAACGCCTTCTTAAAAAGAAATCACACTACAGAAAAGAAATACATCTGAATGTCACACTTGTGTGACATTCAGATGAACACATGTGTTTTTTTGTGGCATCCTAAAATTAGTCAAAGTCACAGACATCCATTAACAACGTATGATGTGCCTACCCGCAGGAAACAGCTTCTGGCCAGTCATATACAATGACATAGTGGATTATTTCAAAATAGGGTCCAGCCGGGACCCTCAACTAAAGACAAGTGGGCTAATAACTAACTCTGAATACACAAATGTCACACTTAGTATGGCTGAGAACTTGCTCTACATACTCGGCCCTTTTAGTTGGCAACACAATCAGCAACAATGAATAAAACATTTAATAATGTGCTGGAGTGTCCCGAGGCATTATACTGTTTCAACCAAGGATACAACGCATCTGTAAATGTCAAACGGAGCTCTCCCATTCAAGCAAACTTGATTTGTTGAAAGAATGCAGCATGGGAATTTAATCCAATTGTTAGAGATGAAAATCAATCTTGGCTGATGTTGAAATGATATGGTCTATTGGAAGGGTCACCTAATAGGAAAATATCCCGACTCAGCTTGTTGAGAATTAGAGAGCGTCACTGCCTCCAGGTGAGCTCATGGCAGGTGGGCCATTTGAGTGCGCAAATTACTTTACAGTCATTAACAGTTTCTCTGAGGTCATTTATCAACATGCTTCTTGCTTAGCTTAAAGGGATAGTTTGTACAAAAATTAAAATTCTGTCATTAATTACTCACTCTCATGTCTTTCCAAAGACTTTTGTTCATCTTCAGAACACAAATGCTCAACCGAACCTGCTTGATGCATGAGAAAAAAACCTCATTGGTTATTGCAGAAGCTCAAATGTGATGTGTAACATGAGAATTAACCTCATTGGTTCTTGCAGAAGCTCAAACGTGATGCGTAACACAAGAATGAACCTCATTGGTCCTTGCCGAAGCTCAATTGTGATGCGTGACACGAGAATGAATCTCATTGGTTCTTGCAGAAGCTCAAACGTGATGCGTAACACGAGAATGAACCCCATTGGTCCTTGCCAAAGCTCAATTGTGATGCGTAACACGAGAATGAACCTCATTGGTTCTTGCAGAAGCTCAAACGTGATGCGTAACACGAGAATGAACCTCATTGGTTCTTGCAGAAGCTCAAACGGGATGCGTATCACGAGAATGAACCCCATTGGTCCTTGCCAAAGCTCAATTGTGATGCGTAACACAAAAATGAACCTCATTGGTTCATGCAGAAGCTCAAACATGATGTGTAACACGAGAATGAACCTCATTGGTTCTTGCAGAAGCTCAAACATGATGCGTAACACGAGAATGAACCTCATTGGTTCTTGCAGAAGCTCAAACGTGATGCGTAACACAAGAATGAACCTCATTGGTTCTTGCAGAAGCTCAAACATGATGCGTAACACGAGAATGAACCTCATTGGTTCTTGCAGAAGCTCAAACATGATGTGTAACATGAGAATGAACCTCATTGGTTTTTGCAGAAGCTCAAACATGATGCGTAACATGAGAATAAACCTCATTGGTTCTTGCAGAAGCTCAAACATGATGTGTAACATGAGAATGAACCTCATTGGTTCTTGCAGAAGCTCAAACATGATGCGTAACATGAGAATGAACCTCATTGGTTCTTGCAGAAGCTCAAACATGATGCGTAACATGAGAATGAACCTCATTGGTTCTTGCAGAAGCTCAAACGTGATGCGTAACACGAGAATGAACCTCATTGGTTCTTGCAGAAGCTCAAACATGATGCGTAACACGAGAATGAACCTCATTGGTTCTTGCAGAAGCTCAAACATGATGCATAACATGAGAATGAACCTCATTGGTTCTTGCAGAAGCTCAAACATGATGCGTAACATGAGAATAAACCTCGTTGGTTCTTGCAGAAGCTCAAACGTGATGTGTAACACAAGAATGAACCTCATTGGTTCTTGCAGAAGCTCAAACGTGATGTGTAACACGAGAATGAACCTCATTGGTTCTTGCAGAAGCTCAAACATGATGCGTAACATGAGAATGAACCTCATTGGTTCTTGCAGAAGCTCAAACGTGATGTGTAACACGAGAATGAACCTCATTGGTTCTTGCAGAAGCTCAAACGTGATGTGTAACACGAGAATGAACCTCATTGGTCCTTGCCGAAGCTCAGTTGTGATGCGTAATGCGAGAATGAACCTCATTGGTTCTCGCACGTCAAGCGAATATGGTTGATCTTCCATTTTCCACAACTGATGTGCGGGTTGATGAATGTTAATATGTGAATAAAAGCCTAAATTCAATCTGTTCATCATATTAAGTGATCGCGTCTCTTCAGAACATTTTGAATAAACCGCTCAAATGGATTAGTTTTACGATCAAAGTGGTAGTTGCTTAGCTGTCGATGGAGGGACAGAAAGCTCTCAGATTTTATCAAAAATATTTCATTGATGAACGAAAGTCTTACAGGTTTGGAGCGAGAAATTAATGACAGAAGTTTCATTTTTGGACTTCGTAAAACAAAAACATGCATCTCAAAACCAACAGTTTGATGTGTGTGACTTACATGAAGGCGTGATAGATGAACGCCCATCCTCTGGGTCTTTCGAGCACGTTGTACAGGCAGTTCTGCAACTTTCTGTAGCGTTTGCTGGAGGCAGAAGGGGTCGCCCTCGGGCCCGGTGGCGCCGGCAGTGGCGTGCCCAGTAAGCCGGTGCGGTGAGACGGGTGTCCTCGCTCTGGGCTGGACGGTTCGCTTCTTTCCGTATGAACAGCCGTGAGAGCCACAAACTCAACCCGCCTGTCATCGTTGGATCCAGGGGGGGCCAGCATCCTAATGCCTCCGTTATTGGAAGGACTACCCAACATTATTGTGTTTACACAAGCAAACTAGAGCACCATATACAGCAGAGATCGACCGATACAGTTTAACAACCGATAATGATTATTTGTATTAAGTGTCCTACAGTTGATATTCAGAACCAATTTTTGATGTTTTACACAATAACAGCCCAATTATTATCATAGCTTATTATTGGGTATATAATCTAAATTAATGCATTATTAAAAACATTCTAAACTGTGAATTTAATAATAATGTTGTTTCTTAAATAGCCTGTTTAGTTGCAAAGAATATCATTAACTCATCATTCTCTCTAATTCTTCACTAATCTTGAAAAACAGTATCAACACATCATACTTAAGAATTAATGTCTATTACATAGCCAACAACTTTTCTATAATTTGTGAAAACAACAATAAAAAATTTATTAATTTACCTGTAGACACTTTTGTTTCCTGTTCCCGATAATGTCGTCGTTGGACGCTATTGTTTATTTGTTTTTGTTTTTTTATCGCTAAACCGATAATTGATTAAGCAGACTGCAAAACTTACACTATCAAATATTTTTCAAAACAAAAGTGATTGTTGTAATCAGAAAAATAATACCAAATTTGTATCAGGGCATGTAACACAATTAGCTACTAATTAAACGTAAAAATATCATATCCCTTTAACTCGTGATAACCAGCAAGTGAACAAAAAGTGTTCAGGTGATACATTTGAAAAGCCTCATAGAGCGCGTCTGTATGTTATTAGTTAATTTGAGTTGCTATTACTAATCAAAGATACGTCCATACCGCCATAACTCCACATTGATATGAATATTTCAGCTGAATTTTCATCTTAAATCGTAACTGGAACATGAGCACTTCATGGCGAGACACTAACGTGCGCATTAATTAGGCTACTCAAAAGTTTTAAAACACACCCTGAAGCACTAAAAAATCAGAACGCATTCCATAAGTCAAGGTTTCCTGACAAATACTGTCTAAGAACAAGGCATAAATGTTTAGAAGTAAACGACATGCCCGGTTTTCCCCCTCCGGCGCGCGACGCTCATTTCGGTTCTTTGGGGAGGAGCGGAGCGGGTCCGTGTGAGATGAATTCAAAGTCGTGCCTGTAGTTCGGTCATTTCAAGATTGTCCCAAAAGTCCGTGACATATTATAGAGTCCAAGACGCTCAACGATGTGGACGGAGAGAGTGCGTAACCTGCACGTGCTGCGCGGAGCGCGAGGAGGATGAAAGTGAGAGCGGGACACACACGAGGAGAGGGAGGGATGGATGGCACTGACACCAAATTTAGCCCCCAACAAACCTAAACACATTTTATTGCACCCCTAAAAAAATCACAGAAATTAAAAAAGATCCATTCGTGTGGAATCATCAAACATTTACAACTTCATACTGGATCAATGTACCTCTGTGTAAACATGCACTTATATCAAGAAGAGAATCAATCAAAAGGCCATCTTGTTGATGTCAAGGCCAAGATTAACCCTCTCGAACAGGTGCTGGGGATGTGTTGTACAGTATTATAAGCTCTGCACACGTGCCTCACTACATGCCAATGTTGTGTCACCTACCCATAAGGACAATAGTAAAATAAGAATAGCAGTCTCAAATCACTCTCTTATATGTACAAAAGTTTGAGAATGCTTAAGTTATGCGGTGTTGATGGTTGATGATGGAGCAGAGAAGGGGACATCAACAATCAATACCTTGCATTTAGTTTATGTGATTTTACACAGACCGTCCTAATGGCTTCGGCTGTTGCTGCAATGCTTTAGAGCAACCCGTGGAATGCATTAGTCCTTTGCCTCTAAAGCCGTGCTTTATTCCCTGCAAGCACTCATACATTTCTTTTGCATGTTTTGATCTTAAACTAAGTGACATTTCAATGCACATTCCTTCACTTGATTTTAAAGCTGTGGGGTGAACTGCACAAAACGTTGTGTGCAAATGAGCGAGAATAAAAAAACAAAGCATGAATATCAACAAATTAATTAAAGTCATTAATAACTTATCCATCCATTTTGTCTGGAAAGAAGCTGAGTAAAAGTCTACTCCGATACTTAGGGTTCAGATATTTCTCAGAATCTCAAGCTGTTACTTTCAACATCAGATGAAAAATGATAGGCAAAAGATAGTGTACACTTACAGCATTCCTGCAGCTCACACAATAGAGCATGGCCTCATGGGATAGTAAAGTGTCCATCAAAGACTCACTTCAGAATCTCGCTTGAAGTGGGTCATCCAGGTATTTTTCACCAACAGTTTTTCAAATCCTTCGGACATACTACTCTGTTGGCGTACTGTTTTATATAGTCTGTTTTATATAGTCTTACTAGGAAGGATTCGATTTCAGACGCTGCGCTGAAGTGGATATAGTTACACACAAGTTAACGTAACATGTTTTTGCTGTTTAGACGCAAATGCTCAGTTCTTTCTTTTAATATATAGATTATTTACATGTAGAACAAAATATTTCAGGGGGCATGAAAGTTTTGTGAATATTACTAAAAACTGGCGCTCAGTGGCAACTAAACTAAAACTATAATACAAATACGTTGCTGGCGGAGAGTTAGGGGCACTGTAAAAAAATGTTGATGGTTTAACTTAAAAAAGTAAGTAACCTGGTTGCCTTAAAATTTTAAGTTCATTGAACTGGAAAAAGTGGGTTAATACAATGAAGGAGAATGATTTAATCATCAGAAACTCAAAATTATATGTTATCTGAACTAAATAAATTATTTAAGTTGATTTGACAAAAGAAAAAATGTTGTGATTACTACACTGTAAAATTGTTTTGTTGGTTTAACTTAAAAAAGTAAGCAACCTGGGTTGTCTTAAAATTTTAAGTTGATTGAACTGGAAAAAGTGAGTTAATACAATGAAGTAGATTAATTTAACCATCAGAAACTCAAAATAATAAGTTATCTCAACTTAACAAATTATTATAAAGTTGATTTGAAAAAAGAAAATATGTTGTGATAACAAAAAATCTTGAAAATATTTTTTACAGTGCATCTCAATCAACTCCCTATGTTGTGAATCAGTATATCGTGTACATGAATTCAGGCACTGGTAAGGACCCGGGCTCACTCCGATGCTCCTTGGTTTTCACAGTGCACTGTGCGACTTTTTAGGGAAGCAAAAGTTTCAGTGCACTGGAAGGATTTTGTGATTGAGACGGCTCTTAAAATGGCCGACTCCCTGATCAGTGCCCTGAACTGCAGAGCTAACTGAGATGCACTCATTTTTTACATTTTTATTATTTTAGCTGACGCTTTTATCCAAAGCGACTTACAATTGCTATATATGTCAAAGGTCACACGCCTCTGGAGCAACTAGGGGTTAAGTGTCTTGCTCAGGGACACATTGGTGTCTCACAGTGGATTCGATCCTGGGTCTCTCACACCAAAGGCATGTGTCTTATCCACTGCGCCATCACCACCCCTTAATTATATGAGGCAGGTTCTCAACGGGTGTGTTTACAAACCCTGGTGTGATTGCTCATCTGAATAAGTGTTATCATCTGAATAAGCGTGAACACTGTCATCTGAACCCTGGGGACACCAAACAAGGGGATCGAGACGCTGAAAAGATGAGTTTTGGTCCGCTTCCAAACAAACTCTGGTGCGGCTTGAATGAAATACGAACGCAAAACAGGCCAAAGACATGTAAAATAACCAAAAACAGGACATGATGTCACAAGATGTGACCTCAAAAAGCCCAGAATGAACAAGCATGCCTGTTTTTCACATCATATTTGCGATGTTGCCCATCACAGTTCAGTACAGGCGTCAGAACCGCGTCTCCTTGCAGCAGATCTTGGTTTGTGTGTGTGCCGGGGGGATTCCTGACGCTGTTTTGACTCCTTAAGACATATTATAAGCTCTTCACGAGTTCTCAGCTGGTCAAAATACCATCATATGTAGCTATGCGTATACAACGAGAGCATTTATCCCTGAACACAGCGTTGCTCTAGATGTTCGGTTAGTTCTTTCACAAAATAATAAAAGCTGACAAATCAGGTTGTGTCTTAACACATCCCTATGTCTTAAGGTTTGGTGTTTAAATGCCAATGTGAACAGTAAGTGCACCAGGATTAAATGTTTTTTTTTTTTTTGGTCCAAACAAGCCAAGCGAACTGAACTACAAGTGTGAACACGTCGAAAGAAACCAGTATGGACATCTGCATGTGACATGACAAGACCAACCTCGGTTTTACTTAATCACATATCATTTCTTAAATTATAATCCATTTAGTCCATATGTAAGTGCAAGCTCACAGGATTCATTTCAGATGTGTCACAGGACAGAATTGATCATTCAGGGGAACAGACCGAGTCCCCTCCTAACACCAGCAATTAACACGAAAACAGACTGATGATACATAAGCATCTCAAACCACCAGCCCTGGATTCTGATAACACACACACACAGCAGCTGGGCAAGGTCACTGGACTCACAGGAGAAACACACACGCTTCTTTGAGGGCCAAATGTCACTGCTGAGGGGAATCTTCTCTGAAAGACATAAACACCTTCTCGCCTTCCTTTGGCGCACGGGTGCAAATAGACAACAAATGTGATGAGGCGATATGGGAAAACTTGGAGCTCTTTACACACACTCACAGTACACATTCACTCACAACCCAAAAAACTCTGTGTTATCCAAGACTGAACGGTGAACGCCCACTGAGGGACATTAGGAGAACTTAAAAATACACACACATCAGCAGGACTGTAGACCTCAGGCCCTCACTTCCGCTTCGCTCTGTACAACACGATGCTCAGCAATGTTTCCCACACCAAAAATACTTCGTTTGGCTAAATATTTGTTCACCAATACTTTATTTTTTTTACAGTGGGGCTCAGTCAACATGTTAATGTTAATTCTAAGGTGAGTTGTGAATATATTGAGAGTTTTATCTCTAAAAACTGTTTAGCGTATAATGCTAGTAATGGGGGCATTGACTAAGTAAAAAGAAATTGCTAGTTTATACCACTAACAAGACGCAAAATACAAAATAGCCCCACACTAACACAGTAACATAATGAAGGTCCATACATACAAAACGAAGCATTGAGAACTTTGTAAGTGTACAGACCGTTTAATAAGAAGATACTTTATGAAGACAGTTCATTTCGTGTATACAGAGAGCAGCCATCTTAGAAAATAGTCTTGATAAGTCAATCCCCGAACACCGTTCATACAGTTCAGAAGTTCACTGAACTTCATACAGTTCAGCTCACTCAGCACGATGTTCGTGGTTTGACTTGTCGTGACAGTTTTCCAAAGATGGCTTCTGTCTGTATACATGAAGTGAACTGTCTTAATAAAATATCTTCTTATTAAACGGTCTGTACACTTACAAATTTCTCAATGCTTCGTTTTGCATGTAGGCATCATCATTATGTTACTGCGTTAGTGTGGGGCTATTTTGCGTCTTGTTAGTGGTATAAACTAGCGATTTCTTTTTACTTAGTAAATGCCCCCATTACTAGCATTATATGCTAAACAGTTTTTAGAGATAAAACTCTTTACATTCGATTATCATGAAAACAAATCTCAGAGAACGGTTGACTAGGTACCAATGTTTTATTAGACCAAAGGTTCATTTTGCGCCAGAGTTCTCCTTTAATTTCGCTAACAACATGAAAAAGGATACAATATAGTGCAACAAAGACTTGAAACCTTTAAGTATGTGTAAGTTGAGATCATTTGGACTGTGACTATTCATATATGACTTATTCTCTATGGGTCAGACAAGCATATCCGCAGTCTGTGGCAAGACTTAAATCTACCTCTCCTGAACTTTCATGTCCATTGCTTCCTTTTCCAAAATGATGTCAGGACTGTAGTGCAGGCCAGAAGCTGAAACAGTAGCAGGGTTGTATCTTCTGCGAGTGTGTTTCCAGGACCTTGAATGAAAGAAACCTTTTGAAAGACCTGTGAGGGCTGAGACACCTTTTCCTCAGCCAAATACAAGGCCCTTTGTATCTAAACTCCTTAACCAACCAAAGTCTAAAGCACCCTTTTGTTTAAAACATTGATCACATGTGCACCACAGAAAGTTAAAAGAGGAAGACTTCACTCTCCAGTTCATGCCCTCCTGAGTCACTCATTCTCAGCCTTGATGCAAAGACACTTCGCCTTTAAAAGCACGGCTCATAAACCCACGCCACGAGGACCGGACTCGGACT